CACATGGTGCCGACCCGCTCCACGCGGAGCTGTTGGACATCGAGTCGAGGCCACAGGAGACCCTCCAGACCACCTCGCGTTCCCTCACCGCGGGCCTGGCGGACTTCCGTATAGTCCCGTGTGGTTGTGGAGGGCCGCATGGGCACCGTCGAGGCGAATGTGGCCACGGTCCAGGACGACGCGGCGCAGCTACGCCGCGAGATGGAAGTGCTGCGTCGGGAGCGGGGGGCGGCCCAGTCGGCGGAGCCTGCGCCGATCCCGCCTGGGCCTGCCTGGTCGCGGACGCCTGGCCCGTGCGACCTGGTCCTCTCGGCGCGTGCTGCGGTGGCGAGGGGCGCCATCGATGGCATGCTCCGCCCACTGCTGGCCGACGCCCAGGTTGCGGCCCATGGCGACACGGTGGCGCCTGAGGGCGAGTTGCTGGCCCAGCGGCGCATCCTGCGCTTCGAGGGCGAGCCCGGACTCGCCTCGCGGCGGGCGTGCAAGGTCCTGGCGGCCATGCGCACAGGCCCGGGGGAATTGAGGTGCCTCTCGTGCCGCGCCCCTGGAGGCGAGCTTGTTGAGGTCTCTCTGGGGCCCGACAAGAACAGGTCCCAGATCTCGCACGAGCTGGCCCTCACTACGCTCAAGATGGCGCTCTTTCCCACCTTGGCGATGGCCGCGCGTTCCTGGACATGCCCGAGGCGGCCTTCAGCAAGAACCGGAGGCGAGGTGCAGATCAGCGGCCCAGCTTTCTTGCCCAAGTTCTATTGAAACGACAGCAACCTGGTGGCCCTTGATCTGGGCCGCCGTGCGCTGGCCGACGCTGCTCACGCCGCCTTTCTCCCCGACGATGACGGGCGGTGCCTTTGACCATTTTGGCATGCTCTGGGGTGGCCGGCAGAAGATCTTCTTCGCCTCCACGTGGAACGCCCGCGCTCTCATGCACCACGACCCGAGCACGGCGGCCAGGAGGGCGGCCCATCTCAGGCAATGGCGGCGGGGGAAGGGAGCGGCGCGCCTGCAGGAGACACGCGGCTCGGCCGCCAGGCTCTCGGACCAGTCCGACTGGTTGGGTTCCGCTGCCACAGTTTTGCTTCGTTCGGCACGAACGATCCAAGAGGGGTGGTCATCGTGTTCCCGCGCGCAAGTGACGGCGTCATCAACTACGACCGCAGGGCGATGGTCAAGGGGGGGGTGCTGCGAGCGAGGGCGACGCTCGCCCAGAACTCGAGCGACCTCATTGCGCGACTCGCAGGCCTCGCAGCAGAAGCACATCGCCGAGAGGCTGCAGGAGGACCTCCGCTGCGCGAGCCTTACCCCGAATCAGAAGACGGCCCTGATCCCGGGCGACTTCAACACTCAGGCCCTCCCAGCAGACCCTGGCGAGGCGCGTCGTGCAAGGCGCCGCGAGGCCCGGAGGCCCCGGCCGGCTCGGCACTGGCGCGCGGGGCTACGCGGCTAGGCCAAGCCGCGGGCGGAAGAGCCCACCCGCTGGGCCCCGAACCGTGGGGCCCACTGCTCCGTCGACAAGATCTACTACGTCGGAGCCCCGCAGCGGCTGCGGCGCCAGACTTGGATGCAGCTCTCGGCGGGGAACGACGCGCGTGAGCTCCAGCGCGGCGGCTTCAGCGACCAAGCCCTATTGGCCCCGGCCCGGTCGCGCCGCCCACCGCCGCAGGCCGCGGCGCGGGCTTGACCGCCCGGCGCCCCCGGTTCACGTCTGCCAGCGTCCAGGGAGGACGCGGGCCTGCGCGCGGAGATCGCGCGGCTGCCTGCCGTGGGGCGGGCGCCGGTCGCCGCTCGCATCCTGCAGGAGGCGGCGAAGCAGGTCCAGGCGGAGGAGCTGCGAGCCGCGGCCTGGGCGCGGAGCACGACGGCTCTGATTTGGCGGCAAACCGCCCGCGCATGCCGGCGCAAGAATTGGCGGCTGGTCGGGCGTTCCATGCCGACGCCACCCCCGTGCCCAGGAGTTCCTCGCAGTGGACGTCGAGCAGCGCGCGGCGCGCGTGGCGCGGCCCGACGAGTTCCAGCGCAGGCGCGCGCTTGCCCTGCGCCGCCTAGCGGCCCAGCGCGGCCGCGAGCTCGACGCGGCGGCGGCGGGGGCCCAGGCCGGCCCCCGCCCGCGCGCCGCAGGCGAGGGGCAGGACGGGCGGGCAGCTGGCGAGCTCCATTGCTTACGTGGACAGCAGCGGGCGCTGAGGCGGCGCGCGCGGCGACGCAGTCGCCCTTCGCTGCGCGGCGCAGCCCTGGCGGCGCCAGGGCGGAGCGTGTCTCTTCGCCGATGGGCAGGGCGGCCGCCCATGCCCCACTGGGGCGTGGTCTCTGACCCCGAGCCGCAGTCGACCCGGCCCCCACAGTGGCCGGAGAGGGATGGGCGGCGCTAATCCAGGCCCTCTCGCTCGAGCGCTTCGGCTGGGACGCGCCGGGCCCCCCCCCCCCGAGCGGGGCATCCTCGGGGCGATCTCTGCGGCGCGCTCCTCGGCCCCTGGAGTCGACGGGCCCCCGGCACCAACCCCGCCCAGGCGGGCGCCCTGGCGGCGGCCATGCACGGGCGGATGGACGGCCTCCAGCTGGGGGTCGCCTTCAACGACCCCATCCTGGCCTACCCGCCGAAGTGCGGCGAGCAGGGCGACGCCCCATGGTGGCCCGCCGCTGGGCGGGCAGCGGGCGCGAGGCAATTGCCCCCGCGGAACGCGCGGGCGAAGATCATCTCCTGCAGGGCTGCATTCCAAGTCGAAGAGGGCCGTCGCGGCCGCGGCTTGCTGAACTCAGCGCGGCTTCCTCGCGGGAAAAAACTTCCGCGAGAACCTGGTCGAGGGTCGAGGGGGGTGCCCGCGCGCGGATGGCTGGGGCGATGGCGCCAGCCTTTCGCGCGGCGATCTCCCCCCCGACGGACCGCCCGGCGGCCGCGGGCGGGGCCCGCCCGCAGACGGCCCCGGACGTGGCGGGCCCCCCGGGCGCGGCGCCAGGGCCGGGCGCGCAGGGGCTCGGCCCCTCGGAGTCGCGGCGCCTGGCCCACAAGCTCGAGCTTTTTGCCGGCCCGCGCCGCGCGTCGGACAGGCGGGCCCTCTGGCGGACACGGGCACGGGAGACTCCTGGCGAGCGCGGCCGCGGCAGGCCCCCGGGCGGGCTCGGGCGCGCTGGGCCCTCCGGCAGGCCGCGCCTGACATGCGCAGCTGATCGCCCCCGCGACTCCCGCGCGACCCCCCGCCCTGCCGGATCTTTGTTTTTCTTTCTGCGGGGGGGGGGGGGGGGCGCTTTTGCGGCGACCCGATACTTAAACCCAGGACCTTCGGCGGCGCATGGGCGCCGTTCCTTCTTCCGCGCGCGCATTGCCACCGCGGCCCTTGGCCCCCCCCCCGGCTAGAGTGCACCTAGTACTTGGGCGCCATTGGTAACGCCATGTGCGAGCACGCAGCTGCTCCTAAACCGCACCTGATCCTGCTGCGCAGCTAGTCTCATCGAATTGCGATTGAGGCGTTTGAGAAAGCAGTATGGCTCGTGACTTAGGAGTAAGGAAACACGTCAGGATCGCCCCTTGGGAGTACAGACGCAGCGGTTATGGAATCAGGAGACAGCATGT